CATCTATGAGGCCCACTATGCCCTGTGGGGGCAGAGACTGGAAACTAACAGCATTTAGCCGGGCGCTGCCTCATGTGGCAGCTCCACGACCCCCATGGCAGCTGAATTAAAGGTCCATGAAGTGAAAAGTCCCCCTGCTCGGCACAGGAGCCACGTGTCAAGGGCTCACTGGCCACAGCAGCTGGTGGCTGTCATGTGGGAGAAACCGACGCAGAGCGAGTCCTCGCTCACAGAATGTCCTGCTGGACAGACTGCTCTGCATGTTGTCTGGGCCTCAAGTGAGAGCACTCAGCTCATTTGCATAAAAGGGCCAAGATGGCTTCTCCTACAGACCAAACCACATCAGGTTCCCGTCTGGTAAGTGAGAACATACTCAGCTGGGGTACAGAAACCACAGTACGTTTTCTGTGGGACTGGTGTTTTCAACCACAAACTGTTCTGAGTTCTGAAGGGGAAACACCTGTCCCTCCACCTTCCTCCCAGGCTGAGGACACTTTCTGGCATAGAATATCCAGGGTGAGCTCTCTTCTAGAAGGTCCCAGGGGCAATGCTGTGAGCTCAGTTTCGGGTGCAGAGATTGAGCCTTGCGGACAGGGATTCTGGGAAGAGAAGAGGAGGCCAAGTCAGGGGTAGGGTGGGAAACACCCCTTGGTTTATCCAGAACCACTTTTCTCAAAGTGTGGTCTGTGGAACCCTGAAGTATCTAAGAGCCTTTCCCGGGATTTGGGGGGTCAACACATTTTGCGGGAGATGGAGGACATTCTTGCCTTTTCACTCTGCTGACATGGACGCTGAGGCAAAGATGAGAGAATCATTGTTCTGCTGCCGCCTGCACACCCCACACTGGGAATTGAACCCACAATCCAGGCATGTACCCTTGACCAGAATCAAACCTGAGACCCTTCAGTCTGCAGGCTGACTATCTACTGAGCCACACTGGCCAGGGCCCAGTTTAGCTTTTAAATCACACGGTTGAAGGAGGTGAAATTGTTATCTTTACTGAAGCCTCATCCTTCCATCCACATTTTAAAACATCATAGCCTCTGGTGAAGATGCCCCAAAGGTGAACGCGGAGCCTGCATCCGCCCACAACCACAAAACAATGACCACCACCCTCCCAACAACCAGCATTCAGAGCCACCTGGAATCCGCCCAACAGGATCCTACAGCAGCCACAGACTCAGCCACAGAGAGCAGACTGCTGGCTGCTGGAGGGCAGGGGAGGGACTGGGCACAGCAGGTGAAGGAGGAGGAAACACAACATGGTCCTTACAGTGTGGTCATGGGAAGGAAAAGGACAGCACAGGGAACACAGTCAATCACATCGTACCAACTACATGTGAGGTCACATGGTACTAGATGTATGGCAGCGATCACTGTATAAGTTATATGAATGTCTAACCACAGGGTTGTACACCTAAACTAATACAATATTGTACATCAACTATATTTAAAAAATTAAAAATATTTTTAAAAAGAAGATATATGTATCTTGCATTCATTACATAAATGCATTAAATTCTTAGCTGTGTATAATAAAAAAGGATTAAAAAAACCTTATATGATGACCTGGGAAGTACACTAAAAACCCTTCCACCACATTCGCAAGTATCATGTACCAGGGAGATCATGTGTGTGAGCTGAGCTAGCCTCTTTCACATGGGATCCCATGTTTACTTAAAAAAAAAAAATAGAGCCCTACCTGGGTTGTCTCCATGGTTGGAGCATAGGTCTGCAGACTGTAGGGTCTGGGGTTTGATTCAGGTCAAGGGAACATGCCCGGGATGTGGTCTCAATTCCCTGTAGGAGGTGTGCAGGAGGCAGCGGATCCATGATTCTCTCACGTCATTGATGTTTCTCTCTCTCTCTTTCTTTCTATTTGAAATCAACAAAAATATATCTTAAAAAATAATAGTTGGAACCTGTTTGATTCCGTGAGTGGTCAGTATGATAGATGTAGCCACATACATAAGGTTATCTGGGCGCCTGCCTATGTGTGAGGCCGCACAGAGATTGTGACACCAAAACCTTGGAAAGTCCCTGAACAGCACAGTGTGACGGGCGCCCCGCGCACGAGGAGGGGTAGGACCGAGTCCCAGGGCCCAGGCCTGCGCTCAGGGCTCCGCAGGGGACAGAGTCTGGGGGCGCAGCTCCATGTGGGGACTCCCGAGTGCCCTGGTTTCACTTCTCCTCTCCCAACCTGTGTCGGCGCCTCTTCCTGGAGACTCGTGACGCGGCCCCCGCTTCTTACTCCCATTGGCTGAGCGGTTTCTAGAGCAGCCAATCCGCCCGCGCCCCGCGGCTCCCGGTTATAACTCCTCCCCGGAAGCGCCCAGAACCAGACTGTCCCCCCGACGCCGAGGATGCGGGTCCTGAGGCCCCCCGCCCTCCTCCTGCTGCTCTCGGGGGCGCTGGTCCTGACCCCCAGCTGGGCCGGTGAGTGCGGGGTCGGAGGGGCGGCGGTGCGGGGAGGAGCCAGGGGACCCGGCAGGGGCGCGGGGCCGGGAAGGCGCGTGTCCAGCCCCGGCCCTGCCCTCCGTCACCCCCCCAGGCCCCCACTCCCTGATGTATTTCTTCACCGCCATGTCCCGGCCCGGCCGCGGGGAGCCCCGGTACCTCCTCGTCGGCTACGTGGACGACACGCAGTTCGTGCGGTTCGACAGCGACGCCCCGAATCCGAGGATGGAGCCGCGGGCGCCGTGGATGCAGCAGCCGTGGGTGGAGCTGGAGAGGCCGGGGTATTGGGACCGGGAGACGCAGAGGGCCAAGGGAGACGCACAGACTTTCCGAATGGAACTGCAGACCACCCTCGACTACTACAACCAGAGCGAGGACGGTGAGCCGCGCTCCAGGCCCCTCACGACCCCCCTCCCCACGAACCCGCTGGTGTGACACCCAGGGTTCCTTTCCGAGTGTCACCACGAGGTGGCGGGACCCGCCCGGCCCCCTCCCGGGAGGAGCCCGCATTGGCTTTGACCCGATTTCACTTTCAGTTTTAGATTCAGTCCCCGCGGGGCGGGCGGGGCGGGGCGAGTGGGTTGGGGCTGACCGCAGCGCGGGCGGGGCTGACCGCGGGGCGGGGTCAGGGTCTCACACCCTCCAGAGGATGGTTGGCTGCCATGTGGGACCTGAGGGGCGCCTGCTCCGCGGGTACATGCAATACGCCTATGATGGTGCCGACTACATCGCCCTGAACGAGGACTTGACCTCCTGGACCACCGTGGACATGGTGGCTCAGATCATCCAGCGCAAATGGGAGGCGGCCGGTGGGGCAGACCATGTGAGGAGCTACCTGGAGGGGGAGTGCATGGAGTGGCTCCAAATTCACCTGGAAAAAGGGAAGGAGACCCTGCAGCGCGCAGGTACCAGGGGCCTTGCGGCCACACCCTCTCCCCGGGGCTGGGGCTGCTACAAGCAGACAGGACAGGGGGTCAGTGTCAGACACCCCTCCTTGGGTCAGGGAGGGAGCCCCAGGGATGTCCAGGTCAGGTACCAGAGGGACCCCCTCCTCTCAGGGACAGTTAGGGGTGCAGGCTCTCCTGGGGTGCAGGGAGACCCCCCTGAAATAGCCCATCAGCGGTTCCCATGGGCCCTGCAGGGGCTCTGGGACCCACCGGAACCTTCTCTCTCAGGCCTTGTGCGCTGCCCACACCCACTGTGTCTGAGGCCTGACCGCAGCTTTTCTGAGTCAAGTGGCCTCGTGCCCTGGGCTGTGTCTCTCTGATTCTAGAACTTTCTAAAGACTAGGAGGACCTTCCAGGTGCCTCTGTCTAAGCTGGTGTGTGGTCTATATGCTCCCTCCCCCACCCCAGGTGGTTGTCCATTCTCAGGATGGTCACATGGGTACTGCTAGAGTGTCCCATGGCGGATGCAAAGTTCCTTCATTTTCTCCCCTCCCCTCAGACCCTCCAAAGGCACACATGACCCACCACCCCGTCTCTGACCATGAGGTTACCCTGAGGTGCTGGGCGCTGGGCTTCTACCCTGCGGACATCAGCCTGACCTGGCAGCGTGACGGGGAGGACCAGACCCAGGACATGGAGCTGGTGGAGACCAGGCCTGCGGGGGACGGGACCTTCCAGAAGTGGGCGGCCGTGGGGGTGCCCCCTGGAGAGGAGCAGAGATACACGTGCCATGTGCAGCACGAGGGGCTGCCTGAGCCCCTGACCCTGAGATGGGGTGAGGAGGGGCCGTGGGCACAGAGCCTCTTCTCAGGACAGCAGGGGCCCTGGGGGACCTCAGTGGGGTCGGGGCTGAGGCCTGGGGTTAGGACCCTCACCTCCCTTCCCTCCTCCTCCCAGAGCCGCCTCCTCACACCTTCATCTTCATCATCATGGGCATCGCTGGGGGCCTGGTTCTGCTGGGAGCTGTGGCTGGAGCTGTGATGTGGGGGAGGAGGCGCTCAGGTGGGCAGGGGTGGGGTCTGAGTGTCTGTCCCACTGGGGGTTCAAGCCCAGGTAGACGTGTGTCCTGTCTCCTTCATGGGAAGCACCATCCCCTCACGTGTGATGGCCAGGGTGGGGTTCTCTGCTCACACTTACTCTGTAGTGAGGCCCGTGGGAAAATGAGGGACCCACTTATCACCTGATGATGCTGGTGGTGGGGACCCCGCTCCCAGCAGCCCCAGGTCAGAGGGCAGGTCTCTGCTGAGCACAGACCTCCAGGATGGCGGTGGGTCCAGTCCCCATACATGCACTTCCCTCCAGTTTCCTGATCTGCCCTGGGTCTATACACAGGGTTCTGGAAACTTCTCAGGGGCCCAGGACTAGGGCTTCCTTTTAGTACTCATGGCCCTGCCTCCTCCCTGGTCTCTCACATGATGTTTTCTTCCCACAGGTGGGAAAGGAGGGAGCTATGCCCAGGCTGCCAGTGAGTATGGAGGGGTGACCCTTGAAACACTGGAACAGTACAGATGGGAGTCCAGGGGGACCTTACCCCCATGGTTTCTCCTTAGTCTCTTGTCCTGGGGCTCTGACCCCGTCCTTGTGTGTCCCCACCAGGCAGTGACAGCGGCCAGGGCTCTGATGTGTCTCTCTCAGCTTCTAAAGGTGAGACCCTGCCATGGGGAGGGGTGGGCAGAGGGAGGACTGGGTAGTGGGGAGTCTGTGGGACACTGTGAGCATGAAGTGAACTCTGAGAATGTCACCAGTTACAGCCACTGACCTGAACCTGTTCATGATGCTTGTCCTCCACAGTGTGAGGCAGCTGCCTTGTGGGGACTGAGTGATGGAAGATGTGTTCACGCTCCCACTTCCTGACTCAAGAACCTCTGATTGGGGCGCTGGCCCCGTCCTCCACCCCACACTTTCCTGTCCAGCAGAGGTGGTGCTGCGCCCTCACTATCCCTGTCTTTATTTCCTCATGCTCTGAGCTGCAACCTCCTGCTCCATATTGAAATGAGGTTTTGGATGTGACCTGGTTTGTTCATTTCTTGCGAAGAAGGGAGCTTGGGACACGGGACCAGCTTTGTGGGCTTAGCGAGGCCGAAGTCGGACCCGTTCCCGAGCACCTTTCACCTGAGAAGGTCAAGGTCCTTTGCAGAGCTTCTCTCACAGGCGTCGAGTGCGTCCTGCAGCACCTTTGTCAGCAATGGCTGTCATCCAGGGAAATCGGTGATGGTTGGTGATGGCGCCTGTAGCAAGACTTGCTGCCTCATTGTTCTTACAAGGACCGGTTCCCAGGGGTGCAGGGACCTCCGGTGCGTGGGAACGAGGGGGCAGACAGGAAAGGCGATGGAGAGCAGGCCGAGTGGGTTTTGGGGTCACAGCTGGGCAGGAGGAGGATGGTCGCTGGAGTTCCCTCTCCTGCCCAGACACTGATGTTCTCCGGATGTGTCTCTCCATTGACAGCCCTGAGGGTTTCGAGAACATCCCAGAAAAATAGCCTCTGCAGGTCAAGCATTTCTGTCCCCATGAGCCCATCGTCCTGGCTGGGAGCGAGAAGGATCTTGGGAAGGATGAGCCCACAGGAGGGAGCAGCCAAGATGCAGCAGGAGCCAGTGAAACCGGAAGAAGGGGAGAGATGCCACAGGACTGGCGCTTTTGGGGACACGGAGTGCTCAGCCAAGACCAAAGATGGAGGGAGGGAGGTTTGGAAATGGCCAAAGGAGCTGCTCTGCAAGCCAGACGCGGGAAGAAGAAATCGGGGTGCCTGTGTGGAGAGCCTGCTGTGAGCAGTTTGGAAGCGCCGTTTATTAATCTTCCTGTATGACTCCGGGCCTTGTTCATTTATCTGTAATTTACCAGAGATGACAAATCAGAAGTCACCTTGCTACCAGTGCTTAGGAGCCAACCATGATTATGAAGGATCCAGCCCACCTGGCCCGGCGGGTCTCCTGCCACCGCTTTCCCAGCCTCCTCTGCGCTCCCACCTGACACACCAGGTGCGGATTCAAGCAATTCCTTCCCTTCCTGCTTCTTTCTAGAAGGAGAAATGGTAGCTTTTGTGAGTGAGGCTGTAACTACTTCATCACTCACCTGCTTGCCTGGCATCTGTCAGTTGCCAGGGACTCTGGGAGCTGCCCCTTCAGGGCTGGACTCCTGAGCAGGTTTCCTGGTCGGGCCTCTGGAGGGGGCATCCAGTTTCCCAACGTGCTCAGCAGAGAGGCCCAGGGCCTGCAGCTGTGGCTGTCACAGTTCTGTGCTTCATGGTAGTTACCGCATAGTCACTGTGTAATGAGCGCCACCTAGTGTGTGTCCCCAAAACATAATATATCTACCCAACTAGATGTAGTATCCTATATAATAAAAGGCTAATTTGCAAATTGACTGAACAGTGGAATGACTGGTTGCTATGATGCACTCTGACCACCAAGGGGCAGACTCTAAATGCAGGAGCTACCCCCTGGTGATCAGTGTGCTCCCACAGGGGGAGCGCCGCTCAGCCAGAATCCTTGAGCTGGGCTCGAGGCTAGCCAGCGCAGTGGCAGTGGTAGGAGAGGCTCCTCGAAGGATGTCCAACTGCCAGCTTAGGCCCGCTCTCGGTCAGACATCCCCCAAGGGCTCCCGGACTGCGCAGGCCAGGCTGTGGTATCACCCCTGAATGCACGAATTTCATGCACCGGGCTTCTAGTTTTTGTATAATTGGATTTCCTAATACTGATATTTGTCATTCCCACAGAAACTGTATTGGTTTTTTTAAAAAAGAAAGTGTATTTGGAAATAACGTCAGATGGAAAATTCAAAAAAAAAAAAAAAGGTGATACCTTGGCCCTGGCTGGATTGGCTCAGTGGACAGAGCATCGGCCTGATGACCAAAGGGACCCTGGTTTGAATCTTGGCAAGGGCACGAACGTCGGTTGCAGGCTTTTCCCCAGCCCTGGCCCTGGTCAGGGCTCCTGCAGAAGGCAACCAATCAATGTGTTTCTCTCACATCGATGTTTCTCTCTGTCTTTCCCTCTCTCTTCCACTCTCTGTAAAAATCAATGGAAAAATATCCTCAGGTGAGGATTAACAACAACAACAAGAACAACAACAACATCATCATCATAATAATAATAATAATAATTACAGCAGAAATAGGGTGGAGAAGAAAGTGTTCCTACATTACAGTTTTGGGTGGTGCTGCCCTCAAGGAGATGGAGAGGGGTTTCCAGGAGGGGATGGGACCCTCAGAGGGAACCAGGGCTCTTGGGGGCTCCTATTCTCCAAATGAAGGACATTTGCAGGACAATATGGAGCCTTCCTGTCACTCTGAAACTTTCTAAACTATAATTTAGCCCTTTATTCACTCTGCTCTTACCCCACTGGTAGTTTTAAAATGTTACTCAGTAAAGAAAAGTCATCACAATAACATGGAAGAGCACTGACTGTGACCCGGGTATTTGAGATTCTAGTAAAACACGTGACTATAAACTTCAAAGCGGGGAGTGGCATGTCATTATGGTACATGCGCGTTGGCTGAGCTTGGGAAGGCTTTCCGTACATAAGTATAAAAATTGTAAATTATCATAGGATCTAAGATTCTAAAAAAAAAGGGTAATTGATTATTCCAGCTGCATACACTGTGAAGCAATATGGGGGTAAAAGTGAATTTTTTTATTTGAGTGTTTTTAAAAGCCAATGAATTCGATTTGCTTACTTAAAAGGAAGATGTTGTCAACCTGTGAGAAGTCTAGAAAGAAGGTTTTTAAAATGGAATTGACTGTCTACCTTACCTGCTAAGGACAGGGGTTAAGTGGAAACTAGACCCCAAATAGAAGGTGCTTTGGGGAGCTCTGAGCCACTTAGAACAAAGACACAGGAAAAGGCAGCGCCTACAGGTGAAAGTCCCAGGAATGGCCAGGCCTTGGTTCCCATGACAGTGAAATTGAGTGTAACAGGCCTTGGGAATAACCTTCAGATGACATGTTTACTGACTCCATGGAGGTGGTTAAACTGTATTTTCAACGTTTTTGAATGTTTCTCTTTCTCTGAAAGAGCTACCCTCTTCCTGTTTTGTGGTATTTCTCCCAAAGCTCAGAGGACATTCTATCCTGCCCTCAGCGGGTCCTGGCGGGAGGGAGGGCAGCTCACTCAC